CATGAAAGTTCAATGGGCTTTTTAATTACCCTTCTTGAGACTTAACAGTAAAAGCACATTTTGAAATATGAATACATATTCATGATAAAGTTGTGATGGTCCATTCTGAAGAGTCAATCTTTGGTTACAGTAGTGGTGGTACTCTGTTACAGCTGTGTTGTAACTTTGTTACAGTATCAGGAACAAAAGTACAGTATTAGTATGTTGAAGAAGCAGTGATTGGCGGCCACTGATTGATGTAACCAAAGACGTATATACGTGAATATACGTCCTTCATGTAACACTCTAAAAGATGCACAAAATGTTCCTGATTCAACCAAACATTATAACAAAAGGACTTTGATGGACCGTTATTGTCATTGAATTTAAACACATTACAAAAACTGAAGTTAGAAGAAATTCAAGTCTGTCCAACCTACTAAGAACAACAGCAATACACTTGTGCAAGTTCACAGTTCCATGTATAAACTCTGTTCTGGAAAGGCTCTGGTTTAAGAATTATGTGAATCTAACTACATAAACTCTCACACGTAAGTCCATCCTATTTATCAGTCATTCCTCAGTGGAGAACAGGGGGCTGTTGTACAAAGTGATCTTAGTGATAAGGTGATCGTAACTCCTGCCTTAATGTTGACTTACGACAGTCTCGGCCCTAAGGTTGTTTGGTATAACAGCAGCCATGGTCCGATCCACAAAGCGTTCACAGTGCTACAACATTCGTAAGCCTATGATAAACTGTAGAGTTACGACAGGTCGTAACATTACGAACACTTTGTGGATCGGGACCCAGGACCTCATTTAAATTTTTTTTCTTAGTGCTATATCTATCGTAGCTCCCATGTCTAAGTAGAACGAGGACAATCACAGTGCTGGGGTCACTTTGTAGAATGAGGCCAGTCCACAAGCAATCTTAACACAGCTGTCTTTAGTCTAGGTTAAAGGATGGCAGTTACGAACACCTTAGTGCTAAGATTCCTTTCTGCAACAGGCCTAGTCATGACACAAGCATGATTGGGTGACTATAATCTAGTCTACTGATTGTCAATTAGAAGTCCATCGTGTGTCTACAATTAGTCTAAGTATCAGAAGGTCTAAGTATCAGAAGGTCTAAGTATCAGCAGGTCTAAGTATCAGAAGGTCTAAGTATCAGAAGGTCTAAGTATCAGAGTTGCATTAGCCAAAGCAGCGATCTGTTTCTGCAGGATCCACTTGCTCAGAGTGATCTTAGTACTTCAACTTATGTCAGTCACAGTGCTAAGATTCCTTATGTCTCAAGCATGATGGGGTGCCATAATCTAGTCTACTGATTGTAAACTAAAGTCTATTGTGTGTCTCCCATCAGTCTATTGACGGGCTAAGTACTGCTGTTGCAATAACCAAAGCAGCGATCTGTTTCTGCAAGATGCTCTTATTCAGATTGATCTTAGCACCATTACTTATGACAGTCACAGATCTAAGATTGCTAAGATCACAAGTTGGTCAAAGCAGAACAGGACATGGTAAAATGACCATTTGCTTCATGGTAGATCAGTTGATAAGTCATTGTGTACCACACCGAATTTGTTTGATATGTTTGGCATTTGATCAGTGCCGAGACCACCTGGTGGACTTGAGCTGTGGACTCTAGGATAAGATTAGGACTTTACAGTTACAGAATCTGATATTTTGCTGTGCATAGTGAGCACTTATAGCACATGCTAATCTTAGGGAGAAGAACTTATCGTAGGGACATTACACAGAGAAAAATGTTATCTGTAATTTGCCTTGTTGGAAGTAGAGTTCTTTAGTAGAATTTTGAAAATTCTTCACTGAGAGAAGCTATTTATTTATTTCTCAACTGTAAAGCATTTAGCTCTGATAGGAATTAGAAATCACTGCCTGAAATCTGATGGGTTTTTTTAAATGTGTAATGTCATTTCTGTGAAATCACCTCACACCTTGTTGACAGTAATGTCTACATTGACAATGTGTGATGTCATCACTTGATTTGACATCACCTCACACTTCACTAATCAGCAATAATATCTACATTGACAATATGTGACATCATCACTAAATTTGACATTTTCATCAAATACAGCCTAGGAACATATAGATAATATATCCACATATGCTGTGCCTATATGTAAAATATACTGAGGGAAACAAATAAGGGAACACATGAAAGATCAAGTGTTCCTTTACTTTTTTCAAAATGTCTTCGCAAGCCTTGTATTGCACTGTGGGTGAAAATCTCAGAATATACATAGGAACACTGATGAGGTGATGTTCCCTTATTTCTTTCCTTCAGTATATTTTCTCTTGTATGGTATGCTGGTTATAAAAGGTTCATGTCCAAATCAACGCAGACCTTGTTTCAGTACACAGACCAATACAGAGGAAAACAAGCAACCATTGAACAGACATCATTATATCACAGCTGAAGCAGTCACTTCAAGTATGCTTCCGAAAACGCAATAATGTGCCTTCAATTTGGCCTTGGGCTCTGTCTCACAAAGCAGTCTTAGCACTAGGACTCACTTCCTTGTCGTAGTGCTAAGATTTCTTTGTTGAACAGGACGCAGTTTATAAAACTGAACTCAAAACCAAGCTTTGAGCAAATAGTGATATGACGTAAGCAATATGCTATCTCTCCAGTACTCATAACATAAAGCGCCTACTTACAGCCAGTCTAGCTACATAATGCTGTCAAAGAAACATGGAGAGAAGATCCCTGGATGTGATTCAGCTCGGACCGATGCATGGGATATTCTGCTTATGTGACACTGAATGCTGGAGACAAAAACTAATAGATTTTTCTTAGAGCTTGTTTGTAAATCCATTCTCTTTGTGTTTCTTTATTTGCGATTTTGTTTTTAGAAAGATCATGGGCAAATGAAATAAACAAAGGAAGTAATCCAAATTTGTTTCCATGTGTGAAGTGTTAAACATGCTTTGAAAAATCCTACTGTCTTGCAGTTGAACCTGTCTTAAGTGCAGACTTTTTTCGGTGGAGCAATAATTCCTAAATATAAATGTAAAAGAGTCCATGATAAATCGGTCATCAAGTCTGGCCAGATTGAGCTTTTACAGCTAGTTTGTGACCAAACTATACTTTCATTCACAGTTGTTCCCATGAATATTCACACGTAACTAAAGGTGATAAGGCAAGCCTATTCCATTTTTTATACATTTCTTTTTAGATCTCTTATCTTTTCAAAGTGCTCTGCCAACTGCCTGGCAGTTTCAGAAAACAATCTCACACATTCTCCTTTTTGCATGCTGTGCATGCTTGTCCTCTCTCATGAGTTATAGAATGACAGTGTGTCTTCAACTCTCTTCTCTCCATCTTTCTTGCGCTATCAGTCTATGGCATAGTATATTTCTTGTAGCGTTTTAACATGTTTGTGCTCTTCAGGGCCCCGTTTCACAAAACTCCCTATGTTACAGTATAGGAGGTACGAATGCTACGAGAAAAGTTACGAGATCTTAGGCTTACAAGATTTTTGTGAAACGGGGCCCTGGTCACCGGTGGACAATGTAAAGAGGAAACAAATATAAAATGTCGGTAACACAAAACTGACCCTTGCATGACCGTTGACAAAAGTCATTATGATCACAGACATATGAAAGTAAACAGGAGCTTCAGACTGGCATAGGGGGATCAACATGTTTATCTTCAGAGGCATTGGGGATGTTTATGGAAATATATCAATATGATTTGCTCAATAAAAGATATTTGGTTGGTTTGCTGATTAGCGCAGCACTTGGCAATATTCCAGCTATATGGCGGCGGTCTCAAAATAATCGAGTCTGGACCAGACAATCCAGTGATCAACAGCATGAACATCGATCCATGCCATTGGGATACGATGACATGTATCAACCAAGTCAACAAGTCTGACCACCCGATGCCGTCAGTTGCCTCTTGCACAATAAAAGAAAGATTTATTTTTGTAATATGGATGCCTCCAAATCATAGAATAATTTAATCAATGAAATGAGGCTACCTCTTGGTCTGAAGATCTGACCCTCAGTGAGAGGTCATGGTGAACTTTCTTATCTTATCTCACTGGAGCTTTTCCCTTCTTTCTATGAAAAACTGAAGCACTGAATCTTTAGAGAAGCGTCTCTGTTCTCTGGAGTTTGAGTGCAATGGCATCTGCACCCAAACTGGGTACACTCTCCAAGGTGTATGCATCTCCTGTGTGCTTTTTTCTGGTACTATATATATTTCTGAAAAGAGGTGATAAAGATATGAAGCCGAATAATATCATAATTCTGACATGTCGTTGTCTCAAGAATCTTCATGTTCCATATTTTGATATGGATGTTGAAGTTTGCTAAGGGTTAACCTGATGTGGTCACAAATGGAAGATTCACACAAAGAGGTATCATGATGCAGTTAAGGAGCTAGTTTGAGATTTGCATCATGGTCATTTTGTTATGCCAAAGGGCTGGGTTCCGCTCCACAAACAATCTTAATGATAAGATGCTTGTAACTTCAACACAGGAAAACAAGAGTTGTGGCACTAAGATCGCAAGGTGGAACAGGACCCTGAGTTCCGATCCACAAGGCATTTATAACATTATGGCCTGTCATAACTCTATAATATATCATAGACTTGCGAATGTCGTGGCACGACAAACGTTTTGTTGAACAGGACCATGAGCCCCGGGTCCCGTTCCACAAAGCGAGTGTAGCGCTAAGGTGATCGTAACTCCCATACTTTAACATAGACTTACGACAGTCGTAGCGCTACGATCGGTTTGTGGAACAGGGCCCTGATCCACAAAGCATTTGTAGCATATTGACTTGTCATAACTCTATAGATTATCGTAGACTAATGAATGTCATACTTATATGAACGTTTTGTGGATTGGGCCCTGGTCTGTTGATCCCTGACGCTTCTGAAGTAGGGAATAATAATCAAGGCCAGTTTCCTGATGAATGAAACCATGAGGAGCAGAGAGTCAGCACCATAGGGGGTAGATTTGCCTGAGATTGATGAAACGTTAGCTTGGGTTGTGAATGGTTTACTGCTTCTCCAAGAGTTGACACAACCAGACACAGCAGCCATGAATTGGGTAATACCACATGAGAAAGGTTGAGTCAATGTTACTCTGATACGGTTCTTGTTTGACTCATGTCTATAAAGTCTTAGTTGTTGCTGGTTTTGAAGTAGTTTGTCATGGTGTAGACAGTCATAGTGTTTGTAGGTTTAGAAAATCAACAAACCTGAGTGTTTAGTTTCAGTAGTGATATCCATATTTTTGTTTGAACAAGTCTGTAGTCTGTTTGATTCCAGAAGAGGATAAGTCAGTTCCAGTTCCATGTCAGAGATGATCTATCCAAATGTCAGGCCATAGAGATCACAGTCTTGATGGAGTGAAATCTAAACTCCAGAGTGATGAAAAGGATGACAGTGACCTTCAGCTGAAGGTCAACCCAATATTGGTTGAGTCTTCACCTCAGACCAAGCGAGCAAAAGATGACAGTGACCTTTAAGGCAGAGGTCAGCTCATTCTGTAAGGCAGATCTTCATCTCGGTCCAAGTCAGTAAAGGATGAGAGCAACTTTGAGTCAAAGGTCAACTCAGTCTGTAGGGCAGATCATCACAGTATGTGCAAGCAAAGAATGACCTTGACCTTGACCCATATATCAGCTCAATCTGCAGGGCGAATCTTCATCTCAGACCGAGCTAGTTGTTCCCGTTTCCAGTGGTTCCAAGCCATACCCCTCCACGGCACATTGGACCGATTATGGTGTGGTCCGTTAAGAAGGGCAAACCAACAGTTATTGTACCACCATCCCCCCTCCCACTCCCGGGCACAGTGAGCTTCATGACGGGCGTCATTGTCCTGATCATATGTGCTGAACATCATTCGATTATGGCGGTACAGACTGTCTTTCACGCTGCCAGCATGATTGTGAATGTGCAGCCGATACTTGTCCCTCTCACCATCAATTTTGAAAGTGCGATAGATGGCGTACACACGGTTCCCTTCAAAGTCCCACAAATCAACTCGGAGTTCGTAATGGTCTTGGTTGGAGATGAGAAAGATGTTGTCATTGCCCATCCAGTGTTCCTGAGAAACATCTCCAAAGCCCTGCTTGTACTGCTGCCAGTTGCGGTTGAAGGAAGTGCTGCCATCTTTGCGGCGCTGTATGACCAACCAGCCACCAGGGGGCGTGTCCATATCGCACCAGACTGGAACCGGACATGCCGCACAGGTGGGTTTGATGTAGTACACTCCACTCTTCTTGATACCCTGAGCATACACTGTGGCACAATCTGAAAATAGAAAAAAGACATGTCATTTATGTTTAATTTTTAATTCTTTTGAAACTTTACATTCTGGTGTTTAGGGGCAGTGGGGTAGCCTAATGGTTAAAGCATCTGCTTATCACACTGAAGATCCTGGTTCGATTCCCCATATGGGTACAATGTGTGAAGCCCATTTCTGGTGTCCCCTGCCATGATATTGATGGAATATTGCTAAAAGTGGGGTAAAACTAAACTCACTCACTTCTGGTTTTTATATTTTAGCAGTTGTTCTTTAAATTCATAGCTATATTTACAGAGTGGTATTTGCAGGAATGAATTGGAAAATGAACGTGTCATTCAGCAATGTATATTCATTGTTTTTATTTTATGGATCTACAGTAACTGTCAACATTTCTTCTTTTATCAATTTTAAAATACAGTTCCTCATTTGTGATTAATTTTGTTTCTGGTATATGGATTTGCCAACATGAAAATAGCTAGAAAACGTTAAAGTGATGTTGACAGAAGAGAGTTACAGCTCTTGGAAATGACTTGTCTGGTTGGGCAGTCATCTTGGCAGAAATGTTTATTTGAAGATAATCAGTGATTCAATTCATCCCTAACCACTGAAAATGCAACATAATTTCCTGAACCATTAAAAAAAGCCAAATTTTGCAAACATGTTGTAACACGAGTACAGCAGAAATCTGTTATACATGTTTCTCCACTTGAACTCATAGTTTCATGTTGTGTGGTCTCTATAAGCTGGTAGACCCATGAAGATCTGTGTTAGAATTGATCTTCAGCAACCCATGCTCGTTGTAAGAGTCAACTAATGGGATCAGGTGGTCAGGCTCGCTGACTTAGTTGACACATGTCATCATATCCAAACTGCTTAGATCAATGTTCATGATGTTGATCACTGGATTGTCTGGTCCAGACTTCGATTATTTACAGACTGCTGCCATATAGCTGGAATATTGCTGATTGCAGCGTAAAACTAAACTCACTCACTCACTATAAGCTGGTGACCTTGATGGATGGAAGGTCAGACAACCCGATTAGTATCCTCAAATATAATAACCAGTCACAGCTGGGTTAACGGAACCAGTTAAACTCTGTCCGTATCTCAAGTGTATAGCTCAACCCACCTTTAACATGCATCATTATTGACTTACGGATACTTTGTCTACAGAAATATCCTGAATCTACTGTCTAACATGTTTTTTAGGACCCTCCCAGAATCCCAAATGTACAATCCCCGACCGTGTCATACCAAAAGACGTTAAAATATGGTACTTGTTGGTCCCTGCCTGGCGCTCGGCATTAATGGGTACAACAAGGACTGGTCGGCTCGTAGTCAGTATAATGTGTCTGAGTGGGGTATTCATGCTTCACTGCGGTATGGTATCTCAGTGGGCTAGCACTATAAAACCAGCTTCAGTCTTGGCTAGTACAAGCAGCCACACATACACATACACCAGTGTAGGAAAGATGTAGAAAATCTAGCCTGTCCACAGGACTGGCAGGTCAAATTTTTACCAGTCCTGCCAAAATCTAGCCTGTCCTCCAAATATAAATAAACCACCTTCGGCAGTAAATATTCAAAAAGGTAATAATCATTATATATATGTCATTGGTTTGCTAAAATTGACCCGACATGAGGACGGACTAGATATTTTTTTAACCCGTCCTCCACAAAATTCACCCATCTCGGACGTTGGGACGGGCTATCTTTCCTACACTGCATACACACGCATGCACATCGTCATATGAGCGAAATATTCTCAAGCACGACTTTTATTTAGTTTAAACCCAATTTCACCTCACCTCACTCAAATGTACAAGGTATATAGAAATACCATAATAATGAGGAAATACATACTCACAGATGTACCTAGTGAGTATCACACCCTACACTGGTGAAATATATATCTTCACATGGTAAGCTATTTTCACAGACAGACGGGTGGTTTGAATATATTCTTCAGCATTATTTACACAGGTGATTTTGTGGCTGTTATCCTGTGAGTATTCAGAGAACGCCTCCATGATGGATTAACTTTCTGTTATTTCCTTTTGATGGTACGTGCTTGATTTGTAAACGCATACAATGTATTGTTCAGACTGTAGATTTGTATGTTTTTATTTACATTAAATGTTTTGGTGGATGGGGTAAAACATTATGATTTTCAAAGAATACTTGCTTTGAAAAGAAACATTTAAGACCACTGAAAGTTAATTTACCTGAATGTGAAATCACAAAATGAGTACAATATATTTCATTCAAAATATGCAAAATTGAAAAGGTCATGGTAAGTTACGGAAAATTATACATTAGGCCAGACCAATTTTATTTCTTGTTTTACGGATCTGCCGGTCCTCGTCCTGCCTTTAGGTTTTCTCAGGACAAAAATCCGTAAAACAAGAAATAAAATTGGTCTGGCCTTAGTGGAGAGTAATAACTGTCTCAAATAGTTATGATGTTTTGATCTCTGATATTTCATATCATTAAGCTACACAATGTCACTGATAACAAAAGGGCTAGAGTGAAACTATTCAAAAGTGTTAAAAATGTCTTTTTATCTTTTACTCCTCACAAAATAGCCAGGTTATTCAAGTCTTGATTCAAGAATCAAAGCTAAAGGTTCTGAACTTTATGCCATTGCATGTTCAGTAATCTTATGATAAACACTTGTGATCCTTTTGTCTGTTGAGGCATTTCTTTTTTAAGTTTTCTAGGTTGTATTTTTCTCTCAGTGAAGTACATATTTAATTCTTCATTCCCTTTGTGTCCAGAAAATATTGCATTTAGATAAAGACTTTAAAGCATGTTTGAATATGTTTTGTATAATTTTACAGGATATGACTCAAAAATTAAATGTCAGTTGTTTGAATGCGTTTTGTGGAATTTTATAGGATATGACTCAAACTTCAAATGTCAGATGCAGTGAGTGTTTGAGAATTTATTGTTTGATGCCTTTTTAATGAATGTGTCGACTGAAGTTTTTACCCCTTGTTTCACTCCACTTTTAGCAATACTCCAGCAATATCATGTCGGGTGACACCAGAAATGGTCTTTAAACATTGTAACCATGTGGGGAATCGAACATCGGCATAATGAGCGAACACTTTAACCACTAGTGTAACCCTACCGCCCCTTTTATATATTTTGGTAAGTATAACTGCAGCAAGTGGTGATAAATAGCATGTCAGAACAAAAGAATACCCAGTGTTTTTAAAAAAAAGACTTCCATTTGGTGTAAAGGGGAAAATAACTCTGAAACTTATGTGAACAGACCACTAAAAATTAGTGATGACACTGAGTGTTTGCCAAAAGGGTCAATCTACGAGCAGATAACTCAGATTTTCTTTTGAAAAACATCAAGTTCTGTTTTCTTTGGCTTGTCATGTTTTTTTTTTAAGAAGTTATGGAAACAGCGCAGCATTCTACTGTACGAACATATTACCAGTCCTGCGATGGCAGGGGACTGGTGTTTTTTCACATGACAACAATTCCAGCCATTCTTGTTGGTATTGTTAAACATTGTTCATATTGTTAGCACTGTTGTCATAGCAACTTGCCTCATTTTGACATGTGTTGTAAACAGGTATACAAGCAGTAATTATCACTTTGACCAAATATACATGCTCTGCAATTGGGGACAGCATATAACTGGTTCTGTTGATAGAAATAGAGAAGAAAACAAATTTATATTGCTTCCCAATCCTTCATCTCTAGTCATTCAAACAACTTTATTTTGATAGAAAACTAACTCTGACGGGAAAGTATTGCAAGAAGGTGCTGGGAGTTGCTGTGAATGAATAGAATAAAGACTGACTGTTCAGTGGTGTTGCTTCAAAGTGTAATGTTTGAAAATGTCCAAATTTAGACTTCTCAAACATGATTACTTTGCTTTTTAGCTGACACAATATGAAAAAAAGTATAACCTTGTTATTAGTATCATTCCAGTGCCCTGTTTGTGTGCTTTGTAGTAGAAAACAGACAGGGTTTGTCTATAGTAATATGTTTAGCAAGTTTTGAAACGTCATCTTTTGTGTCAACATAATTTGTGATGGGAGTTTGAGCAGAACATTGTAAGAGGGGTTGAGAGGTTGCATACAAATAATGCAAACTTTTGTTACAAGTTTTCAAAATTATTGATTTGAGGCCAATTCGAAGAAGATGTTTCCAGAAACTTATGATCGGTTGCTTTGTAATCAAGGTTCATCCTGATTACATTTCTGGGATTGTCGGAGTTCAGCCTGTGCATGTGGGTTTAATTCATGCAGCATTTGGTTTTCCACATGCATGAAGTTGACAGTGTGCGATGTAATTACAGTATTGACTGACTCACTCACACAAAAGTTGCTTGCAAACAGGTTTGATTCAAGCTATTTAAACCTCACCCTGACTGTCTGCCATCACAAATTATGTTATGTTTATCAATACAGCTGTTTCAATAACCCTGATTACACACAGTCACTATCTCACTCTTGCAGAGGATACCAATAACTAGGTCTTGATCTACACTTGATTCAAGGATGCACACTCTGTAGAACATATTCCCTGCTACAGTGTTGTACACTAGCTGTAATTAAGTTTTCAAAGTCTAAAAGTTCAAAACTATATTCTAAAACAGAACCCCCTTGTGTGAAGGAGCTGTCTAGTCTTCTAATTTCCAGAGAATTGGATCTTTACAGACTGCTTGAGCAAAGAAGGAAGATGAGAATGAAATCACATGATGTATTGTTAAGTATGTGCCCTAAGGTATGACACCAAGACGATCCCTATTTAAGGGCGATCATTTGATACCACTACAACAATAATTCAGTCATTTCTTGCTATCAAAATTCACTTAATTCTTTTTATACAAGTATTTTATTCTCTTTAATCAATTTCTTTTCATGTGGTAATGTCAAAACAATTTCCCAGACTGACGACACACATATATAACCAGCAATTCATTTGAATCGCTGTTACTTCTAGATCGTGTAGTAACTGCTTCATGAAAAACCCAATCTAC